CAGAGTATAGGTTGCAGATCAAAACAATCAGATGCTGAGGCATACCCATTTCCTTTAAAACAAACTAAAAAGCAAGTACTTCTGTTTTTTAAAAAGTATAACATATGGGACTTGCTGCCACAGGACATAGCAATGTTATCTAAATGGAGCTGACTAATCTGTGGAGGATAGGGTTGCCAACTCCAGGTTTGGGAATACCTGGAGAGTGCAGTTAAAGGAGGGTAGGGACTTTGGTAGAGCATGGAGCCGTGTAGTCCACCTTCCAAAGCAGCCATTTTCTTCAGGAGAAGTGGAATAAATGTTTTAAATAAATAAATGAATGATAAATAAGTGATCTGTGTAGTCTGGAAATCAGTTGTAATTCTGAAAGAACTCCAGACTCCCATCTGGAGGTTGGCAATCCTAGTGGGAGATGGTTCCATCAGGTTACCTAGAGGTCCCTAGAGGTATGCAAATTCAGATGGACCCTGAAAACATATTTTCCTGGTGTTGCACATATTATTGATTTAAGAAAAAAAAATCTATGTTTCTGTTGAGAAATGTTCTTATCTTTTGGCCTTTTGCCAATCACTTTGAACAACTTAAGTGTCCTTGTGTTTTCAGTACATTTCTTTTATCATGTGGCACGGCACAGCATATTTCTCAGAAGTGTTTGTACAACCACTTTATATTCCCTGAGATTTGTTCTTCTGTCCCTTGCCTGTATGGCATGCATGTGGAAAATACGTCTCTTACTGCTCAGTTAAAGTTTCCCCTTTTTAAACTGGTCCAACTAATAACTTTTGAGAAGGAACTTTACCCCCGCTTTGCCCTGGGAGTTTGAAAAATGGAGGAAGAATTCATTTAAATATGGACTTTTTAAGAATCCATAAGGCACACCAGAGTATTCTATAAGATCACCTAAAGGTCTATACAATCAGTAAGTGAAAGTCCTGCATTGGTTATAACAACATTCTTATGTGTTCACCACTTCCCCAAGTGGTAAGAAATTCTGAGTCAGTGTTTCCTAGTTTTGATTTCCTTTGGATAAGAAAGAACACTGGAGATCTAAGGCGTTTTTGCACTATTTTCTTTATTCATAAACATATATGGATATGTAGCATGTAAGTATTGGCAAAGAGCCATCAGATCCTTCACATCAAATCCTCAGGGGTGCAGAGAGGTGTGGGTGGGGAGTAGACAAACTGGCCTGAAGCCCCACAAATGTATGGTTTTACACTGCTGAAGGTTAATGGAGAGAGAAAGTTGGACCTTCAAGATAGTCTCTTATAGAGTCAAAGAGAAAGCCAATGTTCCTAAATACCGGATGACTATTAAGAAATCCAGCATTGTTAAAAATATTACATACTAGGGATGGGCACGAACTGGGAAAATGGTGGTTCATAGTGGTTCATGGTTAATTGGGTTCCATGAACCACAAACTTTCGTGAACTTTTCTGTTTGCCGAACCAGTTTGTGGTTCCTGCAGTTCGTGAGTTTAGGAGGTGGTAGAATGGCCCCCTCGTGACACCAAACTCACAGGGAATCTTCAGCACGGTCTCCTCCACCCACCTTCCACATCTGGCAAAAATTGCATTTTTAAAGGAAAAAAAGAGTTCCCCCCCCCCACCTGGCACAGGCAGAGAAAAGCTAGTTAAGTGTGTGACTCAGGTCCCTGAAATCACAGCAAGGAACACCTTCCCAGCCAGGAGAGGTGTTTAAAAAATTGTTCCACTGTGTGTGGGGGGAAAGGAGTCCTTCAAAGCCCCCCCCCGAATCAGCCAGCAGCAAGCAATTCTTCTCTTAACTCTCCCTCACTTGAAGACTAACTCCTCTCCTCTCTCCTGCTGCAAAGTGAAAACAGCTGAGTCAGGGTGTGGTACAATCTGCTCCCACAGAGCAGAATGGGAGCTCCATGACTGGCTGCCAGAGCTGCCAATCAAGCTATGGACAACTATTACGGGTGTTTCTCAGGTTTTCTACAAGTCCACCCACAGCGTTACCTAGGAATTGATTGAATCGGTGCCAGGCTGTCTGGTCAACAAACCGCTCTAACGAACCACCCAAACCTCTATGGAAAAAATGGCAGTTCATTGTTGGTTCAAGAGTGGCGCAACCAAATGAACCAGGTCAAAACAAACCATGAACTGGCCTGGTTGAAGTAAAAACACAGTTCGTTTTGCGGTTTGTGCCCATCCCTATTACATACTAAACTATTAGAGTCAAGCCCAGTAGTACCTTAGAGACCAACAAGGGTTTCAGGGTATAAGCTTTGATGTCTGATGGAGGAAGCTTTGACTCAAAACCTCATTCCCCTTCCAAAATCTGGTTGGTCTCTAAGGTGCGACTGGACTTGAACCTACCCGTTCCACTGCAGACCCACACAGCTATCCTCTGAAACAATACTAAACTATAATACATTATTATGTGGCTATTTCATGTACTTTGATATGCATTATACCTTGAATAAAACTTTGTTCTGCTGCTTCACACCAACATGGTGACCCCACCTGAATTTAAATATGCTATGTTGTCCAGGGGTTGTTTCGTAGAAAAAGACCTAGGGGAACTCATTAGCATAACTCATTAGCATATGCCACACCCCCTGACATCAGGGGCCCGGCGGTGGACCTGCAAGGCCGGCGGGAGTGCAAGGAAGCCCCGCCAAGGCCCTCCCTGGACCCAGGCAGGCAGGGGTGGGGAGAGGCAGGGAGGAAGCAACTTACCCTCCCTCTTCTCCTGCCTCCTCCTGGCTGAATGAGGGCTGGAAGCAGCGCAGCCGGAAGCAGGGGGCGGGGCTTCGTCATGTGCCCCGCCCCCATACCTCACCTGGGGGAACTGCGATCCCCCGCGATCCCCCGCGAATCGACCTCTGATGTTGTCTACTAACAGCATTTGGGAAGTATAGAAGGAAGGCCAAAAGCTGCTTTTGCCACAGGTTCTACACATGCATGCGCGCGCACAGACACACACACACACACACACTTGCAGGAGCCCTGTTCCCCAGGGGCCTCACTTTTAACCTCCTTGCAGCTCTCTTTCAGCTCTCTCTTCCAAGCTGCAAACCATCTGTTCCTTTAAACATACCTTTTCACTCCCCTCATCTGCAGTGATGACACTCCCCCCCCCCAACTCTGATGGGCTTCATAGTCAAGAACACAGAGCTACTCAGGGACCATCTGCTAACACTCAGCTCCCATTGAGAAAAACATTTGCATCTATTAAAGAACATTCTTTTGTTAAAGGCCTTGACTTTTGTCAGATGCCAGATTATAGTGTTCACCGTAGTCAGACAAGAAGCTTGTATAATAACTTGTGTGGAAGTAACTGCCTTTGAATTCATTACAATTTAGGGCTGGTCTACTTGATCAAAGATACCCTGTGGTAAAGTCATTCCTTGGCTGTCAGATCTCTGGCTGCTGCTGCTGGGAAGAGTTTACATTTTAGGATGCCCCATCATGTAAACAAAAATACCCCATAGAGAGAAAACCAGCAGTTTAAGACAGAATATTCTTGTTTCATCTTCTCCCCGATGTGCTCATTTTCTACATGAGGAAATCTGCTCAGCCTACTAATACGAGTAAACTGCACCTATGTGTGAGGAAACTGGTCAAAATTAATGTGACGATGTGGTCGTACGCCACTTAGAGACACTCCTAACCAAGGCTCCCTCTAAGCTGTGGAGTCTCGTGAGCAAAAATTCTGCTTTGTGAGCTCCTGGCATTAAAGTTGTGAGCGAGGGATTTGGCTGCTGCATAGATTAGTTTGCTCTGGAGCCCTCCTCCCTGAGCTAAGACGAGAATGTGTGAGCCGGGGGCTAAAAAACTGTGAGCCAGCTCCCATTAACTCATCTTAGAGGGAACCATGCTCCTAACCAGGTCTACTAAGGCTGTGGTTGCACACACTAAATAATCCACTTTCAGTGCACTTTCCACTGTTGAAAGTGGATTATTTAGTGTGTGTGACCGCAGCATAAGAAATAAGTCCCATTTTATTCAATGGGGCTTACTCCCATGAAAGCGTTCTCAGGATTGTAACCTTTGGTTCCTCATTGGTGGTGGTGTATAAATATCTAAATAAATAAATATTTTTAGAAACAAGGATGACTGAATGAGCCAACAGATTGTTTGCAACCATATTAGCCCCAAAGTAAAAGCCAAAAACCACCATTCATGCGATACCCAATGGGCCATGACACATAACAATGTGCAAGCTTTTGGGTTTCTCAGAATTCTTCAACAGGTCAAATGTTACAAAATAAAAAGGGGTATGAACCAGATTGCAGATCATCATGATCTTAAGGCCTTCTTATGCCAGGCTACGGTAAACCTGAAATCTGCTGGGGTTTTTTCCCCTCTTTTGTATTTTGTAACATCTGGCCTGGTGAAGAGTTCTGGGGAACTTGAAAGCTTGCACACTGTTATGTGTCACTGGATTGGTCCCAATAAAGGTATCACATGGGTGGTGTTTTTGGCTTTTTGAATGACAACGAAGAGCCACACTATGCCACGTCACCAGCAACTATGAGACAGATGTCGCAGCACCTTAAGGACTCTGACTAACCAAGGTATTACAACAAATATTCTTATGGGCCAGGGTTTATTTCATCACATGCACCTATAAACTCGGCTCTGGCCCATGAGAGGTTATTCCCCAATCTATATGTTAGCTTTTTAATGATGTACTCTCATTGATGTTTTTGCTGCAGAGGATGAACATCCCCAGAATGTATATGGTTCACAGTTAAGCATACTTCCAAACAGCTTTTGCGATGATTACAATACAGCATTGAATGCTGTGTACTGTTTCAATTTTTATCTTTTTTGTTAAAAATGCATAATAGGCAACAATGTGACATCCACATGTTTTGATCCATTTCTTCAACCTCTCTCCTTTCAGGCTGTGAGGGAAGAGGAGGTCAAACATAAGCGGACAATGTATTCTACACAGAAGAGGGATGCCGTTTGGATTATGGGTTACCTGGCGTGATTGAAGCCCGTGGTCAGCTGTACCCATCCACGATGCATCATCTCTTTGGAGTTGTTTTGGGACAAAAGGACCTTTCACGTGCAGGGGACCTCTTCTCCTTAGACGATTCCGAAATAGAAGGGTGCCTGTCAGAAGCTCTTGAGCAAATAAAAATTATCAGTTCTTCTCCGGTAAGTAAAACATTCCATGGCTGCGGTCACACGGAGCATTAGCCACGCTACAGAGATGGAAGATAGGCGGATTTTCCAGGCGCGATCACACCGCAACATCTGGGAAGCGTAGAGCTCCCGTGGCTAACCTGAGGCTTCCCGCCAAAGATGCGGCGTAAAAAACTAGTACCTCCGAGGTACTAGTTTCCGGAAACCGCGGGGCAAGGGCGGGCGTCTGATCGCGTTTCCGGTGGTAGTTCGTGGCATCCGGTGCCCGCCCATGTCCCGTTGCAAAAAGGTTTTTCCCCCCAAGTCTCCACGGGATGCGCACAAGCACCCAACAGCGCATGCGCACATTTCGGTTAAAAAAACCCACAACCTCGTTTGCCATGGCGGCAGCACCTAGCGGTTGCTGCTGTGATCGCGCCGCGCCACTTCTTTGTCGCGCCGCAGGATTGTCGTGTGACTGGCACCTCCCCCCGAACCACGGGACGTTGGCGAGACGTGTGATCCGGTGGCCGCGCGTTAGTTTGCTCCGGGGCAAACAGCCACGCTCCCCCCCCCGCATTTTCTGGCCCGTGTGACCGGGGCCCATGTTCCTTTTTTTGTGCACGAAATGTAGGATAAGGATTTTTAAAAAGAAAGAGTTTGCAGTCACATGCATTTACTGTGAATGCAAGGATTCAGTATTGTCTCCCCATCTGTAAAATGGGAACAGGGATAGTTGACCATGCAGGAACACGGTGAGAATGAATGGGCCGTGCATCATTAAGTGCTAGATACAGATCTCATTAGTTGGTAACAATAACAGGCTCACCCCGGCCCTGGAATCCTGCAGTCCATTTAATACTTGCTTGTAAATTCTTTTGAACTGCCTCTGTATTAATAAAAATCCTGGAGGCAATCTGTGAGATGACAAAGGAGGGTAGCTAAAATAGAAAAATACAATGATAAAAGGGGGGGAGTATATTTTGGTGCAGGGGCTGCGGTGGCTCAAGTGGTTAAGATGCTGAACTGCAGACCAGAAGGTCGGTAGTTCAGCAGTTCGAGACCCGAGTGCTGCATGACAGAGTGAGCTCCTGTCTCCGGTCCCAGCTCCTGCCAACCTAGCAGTTTGAAAGCAAGAAACTGCAAGTAGATAAATAGGTACCACTTCGGTGGGAAGGTAATACCTCGTTTTCGAGTTTGTATATCCAACCAGTGCTGTCCAAAGACCTTTCTGTGGTCATGTGGCTCTTCGGCTTGGAAACGGGGATGAGAACCACATCCCTAGAGTTGGATTCGACTGGCTTTCGAACAAGGGAAAGCTTTACCTTTGCCTATATGTTGGTGCAAAGTAATATTTATTAATGTATCCCAGTGTATTTTAAAGCTCTGCTTTTACTTTTGGGAACACTTTTCTTCCGAGACACTCTTGCTCCCTGGATAGACAAACTTGAAAACAATCACTCATATTAAAATTGACCACATCCAGAGGTCACAACGATCTGTTCACAATTGGCTCAGATGCAGCTTGTTTGTTGTGTTCACACATTCCCCTCCTCCATTCACCCTTTGAACACTGAGCATAATTGAAAACTTTGTTATTTCGAAGACCTTCAATCAACTTCCAGTTTTCCATGTTATCTGAATGCATGTGACTGGGCAAATGGGTGCTTGTGGCCTCCTAGGGCTGCCAAATGTGGGTGGGGGGTGGGGAATCCCCCGCTTTGAAGGGCCGATTTCCGACGCGGCGGAATCGGGCCCCGGGGGAACCCCGCCCCCGGCGTGCGCATCACTAGCAAGTGACGTGGGCACGCCGGGCACGCTGGGGGCGGGGCCATGGCCATACAAGGGAAAACTCTATGCCTATGTCACTTCTGGGTGACGTGCACGCGGTGCGCGTGTGCGCTTTGCGTGCACGCACACCCCCGACGCCGGCTGGGAGCGGGGGGCTCCCGGCGAAGACAGATTTGGCAACCCTATTGCCTCCTCATCAACTGGGATTCTAGACTGATCTTAAACTGTAGTTTTAGAATGTATAGCAAATTGAAGGCTTCTGTATATGCAAGGCAAAGTAGGGGAGAGCAGGAGGGATGCAGTGAATGAGCACAGCAAATAAGACACGGGGCGGGGAGGGCGGGGTATAAATTGAATAAAATAAATAAAATAAATAAATAAATAAAAAATCATGCCTGTCACAAACAAACGGGGGGTCTTTTGTGACATCCGAACATGACATCCATGTTTCTCAGTACACTAAAGCTAAAATGTACAGTTTTCTAACAACATTCTGATTTTGGGTGCAAGGTTTATTGTTTTTTATCTGCTCTGAGAACAGCTGCTCAGAAAAAGAAAAGAAACGGAAACAATCCTCTGTAAAAAAAATAAAATCTCTCCCTCTCTAGGAATTTAATTTACAGAAACAAAACCATGGTAGCTTTTAAAGACAGGTACCTGCTTACAAAGGAGCTGCGGTGGCTCAAGTGGTTAAGACGCTAAACTGCAGGCTGTGGAAGGTCGGTAGTTCAGCAGTTCGAGACCTGGATGCCGCATGATGGAGTGAGCTCCCATTTCTAGTTCCAGCTCCTGCCAACCTAGCAGTTTGAAAGCAAGAAATTGCAAGTAGATAAATAGGTACCCCTTCGGTGGGAAGGTAACAGTGTTCCATGTGCCTTGGTGTTTAGTCATGCCGGCCACATGACCACGGAAACGTCTTTGGACAGCGCTGGCTCTTCGGCTTTGAAACGGAGATGAGCACCGCAACCCTAGAGTCGGATTCGACTGGCTTTCGAGCAAGGGAACCTTTACCTTTACCTTTACCTGCTTACAATGCCCATGACTCTCTGCTACTTTCGTGATTCTACTCTGTTAGAACTTATTGGAGGACTGTCCTCCTGAAGGAGGCATCAGCTGATGCTGCCTGGTCTATGAAAAAAAAAATTAAAAGGTAGGTGCCTAATAGAGTTAGTACAGCACTTAGATTGCTGTACCTCCAGTTTATCTGTTGTTTGTACAAGCTCTAGCAGATATTCTCTCTACACTGCATCCATTCACAGGGCAAACTAGACAAGATACTGGGCATTCATGAAGGTTCATTCAGACTGATCCTGCATCATGGGTGAATAGGAATTTACACATTTCCTTAGCACTGTTTTTTCTTCTTCTGACTTTAGACTCATGGAGCTGCTGTTTGACCCAGTCAAACAAGACAAGACAGCACAGGGAAAAGGGGACCTCCTCTCCCCACCATGGCCTTACCTGAATTTGGAGGATATATTCATAAATCTCATCTTGTCTGGCCCTCAGTCTGGGTTAGTAAGCATCTCCAAACCATGACTAAATAAAAAGCTCTTATGAGTGGATTTTTAAAAAGAACTTTTACAAGTTAATTGCCACTAGAGGGCAGCAGTGGTATATAATTGGTGTGGAATATTATTTAACATTATTTTCATATTCGGATGCTGGAAGAAACAAGCATTCTCTCTCAGACATGAATGGAGCCTTAGAAAATTGTTGATATCTGCATGCTTCAACATATCCCTTCTATCTATAAGGACATAGGTCATAAAATGGCCAGAGCACTGTTCTTTTGAAGAAGGTCATTCAGACTTTATAGCTCAAAGGAACACCATGGTTGAACATGGCAACAGTTTATAAAGCTATAAAGTAATGCTGACAGAAAGCTAAACTTGGTGTCCATTCAAACTGACTAGCAGTAGGTTCATAGAATAGGAGAAAAGTACTTCTTTGTGCAAACAGTTTATAGAGTGTATCGCCACAGGATGTTGCTGTGGTCACAATCACAGATGACTTTAAAAATGAGTAGAAAACTTTATGAAGGATATAGGCTTAACTCTGCTTGTTAGACCTAGTCGCTAAACAGAGCCAGTCTACTTCTGGTTGCTTTTGTTTGTTTGCTTTCAAGTCACGGCCAATTTATGTTGACCCCATAGGGTTTCTCAGGCAAGAGATGGTTTGCCATTGCCTGCCTCTATGTAGCAACCCCTGCAGATGATCACTGAGTAACATCTGGGCTTCAGGAGCAGGCAACCTCTGGAGGCAGGTCTGGCAGGCAAGAGTTGTAGTCCTGCAAGGCTGTCTTTCCAGGTCCCACTTTAAGTAGGCTGGGGTGTAATCGAGCCCAGCTGCATTGCCAACAGGTCATAAGAACATAAGAGAAGCCAATGTTGGATCAGGCCAATGGCCCATCCAGTCCAACGCTCTGTCACACAGTGGCCAAAAATACCAGGTGCCATCAGGAGGTCCACCAGTGGGGCCAGGACACTAGAAGCCCTCCCACTGTTGCCCCCCCCCCCCAAGCACCAAGAATACAGTGCATCCCTTGCCCCAGACTGGGAGTTCCTATCTATACCTTGTGGCTAATAGCCACTGATGGACTTCTGCTCCATATACTTATCTAATTCCGTCTTGAAGCTGTCCATGCTTGTAGCCACCACCACCTCCTGTGGCAGTGAATTCCATGCGTTAATCCCTCTTTGGGTGAAGATGTACTTCCTTTTATCTGTTCTAACCCGACTGCTCAGCAATTTCATGGAGTGCCCACGAGTTCTCGTATTGTGAGAAAGGGAGAAAAGTGCTTCTTTCTCAACCTGCTCTATCCCATGCATAATCTTATAAACCTCGATCATGTCATCCCTCAGCCATAGTTTCTCCGAGCTAAAGAGCCCCAAGCGCTTTAACCTTTCTTCACAGGGAAAGTGTTCCAACCTTTTTATCATTCGAGTTGCCCTTTTCTGCACTTTTCCCAATGCTATAATATCCTTTCTGAGATGTGGTGACCAGAACTGTACACAGTACTCCAAATGAGGTCACACCATCGATTTATACAGGGGCATTATACTATATATACTGTATATATTATACAGGCAGCTCTGCACACTGGTCAGGATCCTGCAAGCACTGCTCTACTCTGGTGTTGCATTAAGGTTGCCATCCCCCCCTCTGGAGGTGGGGATTCCCCAGGCCTCACCCCCCACTAATTATCTGGGAGACTTACTGGCAGCTGGGGGAGGCCTACACCAGCATCTCAGTGTTGCCTCCAGCAACACTGGCAATGCAGGGATGCTCTGATATTTAGGCAAAAACTCTGTGGTTAAAATGGCTTCTACCATAGAGTTTTTGCCCAAATATTAGAGTGTCCCCATATCACAGGCAATGTTGTCAGCAAAGACACTGAGAAATTGGTGTAGGCCTCCCCCGCTGCTTATAAGTCCCCGTGCCAATTGCCAGGGCTTCCTGGCAGTCCTGTGTTGTCATAACTAGCTTGAAGCTTTGCCTCCTTTGTGCCACTTTGGCTTGGACCCTCCACTGCCACTGTTCTCACAGATTGGAAGAGGATTCTGGGGGGCTACAGGGCCAGGCCCATGTTTTGAGTGGCAGAGGCCTGGAGACTACCACTGAGGCTGGTGCAGAGGTTTCCCTTGTAGGCCCTGGAAAGGCAGCCCGTGACATTGAGGAGATGTCGTCTTCATGTGGCTCTGCAGTGCTGGGCTCTTCCTGATCCTTCTGGTCCTCCTCAGTCACCGGCCTTGGCTCCTCCCCTGGGGATTTTGAATCAGAATCATTGAGGAGGCTGGAGGGGATCATGACAATTACCACAGGTTGGGCTAAACAGCAGCAGCAGAATAGGACTGTTTCTGTAATGTCTTCTTGTGAACTTTGTGCTGGAATAAATAGAACTATGGTCTAATTCTGCAAGGGAAATGTGGTATATCTTTTGTATACATTACAATGGAATGGTGTTCTTCCTGTCTGATATTTGCGCAAATTGGTTTAATGGAGTCGCTACTTCGTTAATTCTGTTTGTTAGTTAGAACTGTAGACTGCATTAGCTCACTTGTTCTGAAACCAGTTGCTGCCATACCCGTATCTTAGGGCTGCCAAATGCAGCCAGGGGGCGGGAAATCCCCCGCTTCGGAGCCCCGATTTCTGGCGCGCCAGGATCAGGGCCCGGGGGAAACCCCACCCCCGCGTGCGCGTCACCCGGAAGTGACGTCGCACGCTGGGGGCGGGGCCACGCCATTTGAGGGGAAAACAAAGAGTTTCCCCCTCAAATGGCGTGGCCCCGCCCCCAGCGTGTGACGTCACATCCGGGTGACGTGCACCCGGCGCGCGCGCGCACAGCCCCGACATCGTCCAGGAGCCCCCCGCTCCCGGGCGATTTAGATTTGGCAACCCTACCGTATCTCCTTGTTAATAAACAGATGTAGAAAGATGAATAACACACAAGCATGAGATTGTTTGCAAATCCATTATGAACTTTGGCTTCTACTAATTTTTGTGATAGCCGGCATGACGGTTAAACATGCAAAGCAACAAAGACGAAGGCAAAAGGAATCAAGTTATTTGCTCACTTCATTATTTCGGATTTCACTTGCCACACACTTACTTGCTGTAGACACTTACTGAGTTCTGCCCAGTCTTCACTCTTCCCTGCCCCGCTTCCCAGGTCTTTCTTCCGGTTCTTTCGTAGAGCTCAAGTTATTAGTCTGCGTCAGGGTTGGACGAAGTAGGAATTCCTCTGTGATTGACAGCCAAGAACTTGCCAGGTTCCTGTATTACTGCCTGGACTCTCTATCCTGTTGGGATATTTTCTCCACACTTCCTGTGTCTGTGCGTCAAGGATCAGACTGGTTTATAAAATACTGACACCCAGAGCTTGAGTTACATTTTGGGAGTTAAGCCCTTAATGCAACTCTCAAAATATCACTGGCTCAGTTGCTGCTTAATAGCATGGTAAGAATCCTGTTCCTCCCCCCTCCTGAACAATTAAAACATTAAATACATATACACAGGTAGGTTACCCATGAGAAATCTTGGGGGCAGGGGCATCCCGTGCCCCCTGCCTTTGTTTCCTTCCCTCTCCCCCACCTCTTCTCTCGCAGTCAGTCTTCTGTTTCCGTCCTCCCTTTTTGTCTCCCCCACTTGCTCGACGTGCTGGCTAGTTGCCAGCCTGCCCACATGGCTGCAGTGTGGCCACTTGTTAGCCGAATTGCTCACAAGCTAAATGCTGTTAGTCCATCCCAAAAACATCCTATTGGTTGCATGTGGGAAGGGGAGGTTACCTGAGAGGGGTGGCCAATATTGTAACCTAAAACCTTACTCAGAGTATGGCATCTGCACAGGTGTGAAACCTAGGCATCAGGATGCTCCATTGTAGTGCTGATGAAGCTGGCCATTCCATTGATAACCAAATGTCCATTTGGCAGGAAATGCCTTCTCAGGAACAAAGCAGTGATGGGTGGTACGTGAGCACAAACAGTTCTGCAATGGGGGCTGTCTCTTCTCAAGGTTGTTGTTTCTCATTGCTCACAATAATGGAGGTGTGTGCTTCTTCACCAGGCTGGGTACCTGTATTGCTGAAACCTTATTCACGTGTAAGGTATGTGCAGGCACCTTCTATGTGTAGTATCACAATGGGTGACCTAAAGTGTACAGCTTTCTGTGCCTATGTGTGTGTGCACAGTCTATTGTATGTAGCAATAAATAGTCCATAAACCAAATATCAGGCTTATTCTCTAACACACTGCTGCCTCTGCTCATGTGGAGGTGGCAGGAAGAATGCTACAGCTCTTACAGTGGATGTTGCACAATGTACTTCACTCACGCACCTGGCTAAAGTGGTGGGAGTGTGGTGACAACTTCTAGTCCTCCTCCCCCACCCACTGGATTGTAGAAACAGTTTGGTCTAATTTGTTCCGGAAGTTCCAGAAAGAAAATAGAAATTTCTCTTTAGAACTGTAAGTCTATAGCAAGTGGGAAAGGATTTAGTCTATTGATTAATTCTGATGCAGCTTGAGTACAAATTGCTTTGTCTCAAACAGGACTACCAAACAAACGACAATGACCAGGCAGTTGTGGAAATCTGTATCACTCGAATCACCACAGCTATCAGGGAGACAGAATCCATAGAGAAACATGGAAAATCCCTAGTTGCTCTTTGGGAGTCGTGCTTGGAGCACAACCTGAAACCTTCAGGAAAAGATGAAGACACACCACATGCAAAAATTGCATCTGATATTATGAGCTGCATTTTGCAGGTAAGAGTATTTGCAAGGGATGTTGGACTTTTGTAACACTTGCCTTGGGAACGGCCAGTGGTTTCATGAAGAGACGTTTTGGCCACTGGAATGTTGTTTGTTAGAAACGTTAGAGCAAAAAACTACATGTTATAAGAAAAACAGGCTCGGTACCCAAAATGGCACCCCTATGTCAAATATTCCTCTTTTGTTAGGTGTAGTAAAACTTGCATTATGACTTGACATCATTGCTTTATGAATTTTCCTATCCCTGCTAGTGACAGCCAATAATTTGCAGTGGGGAAATGAATGAGCTTTAGGGTTAGTTTTATCTCAATTAGAAGGCAGAATATTCAGCAAGGGATGCTTCCATCCATACAGACACCATTGTCTGCATGGCTCACATTGCTGCCTAGAATGCAGGGGAACTCGCAGTGGCAATAGAGCATCCAGACACAAGCCTTACTCCCCTTTCTTAGCCCTCCATGGCTGCCATCCCTCCCCCACACCATCAGAGGACTTTTAGAGGGCTTTTAAAAGTTGCCAATAGCTATATTGTGATAGCATTATACCAGCCCATCGCAACAATGTACTAACTGTTGCACAAATAAAAAGTTAAGTCTTGTTGTTGCAGTTTTAATAAAGAGAAATGTGCAGTCATTTACCCCCCCCCCCTTCATAACTGCAGCAAAAAGGGGGAAATGGAAGCTGGTGTCTAGTACATTGTTGCAACAGATTGTTATAATGCTATAGCACTATACTGATGCAGCTATGACTGAGGGTTTTTTTTAAGGTTTGGGAAAAAGGGGGGGGGGGACGGTTGCCGCGGAGCCTAAGTGAAAAGGTGGCTATGTGAGGGGGACCTTGAAAAAAATGTGCATTTTCCCGTCCATATGTTACTGAAAGATGCTTTGACGACTAACTCTCCAGAAAGATCATAACAAATCAGATCTTTGGGAAAGATCACAGCAAACTGGGGGAAAGCAGGACAAATAGAGGATGCTGTCATGGGGATGGTCCCCCAAACTGTGCTGCTGTAAGGAAGCCCATGCAGAGCAAAACATCGACGTGGAAACAGCCAAGGACAGCCAGGGAAGCAAGGGGCCATTGGGGCAAAAGGGATGCTCTTGTCCTCATAGCGCCCCAAAAGGCCACTTGTGCCCATGAACCAGCCCTGGTGGGAAAGGAATGGAGTTATGCCTGGGATCAAATAAAAACATAGTCTCTCAGGCATAAATCTGAGCATAGAGGCCCCGGTCACACGGGAGGATTTGCCCCGCGGGAGGGATGGATCGGGGGCACATCAAGCGGGTGCAATCATACTGCAACATCTGGGAAGCGACGCACACCTGTCCCCGATTTGTCCCTTCCAGCCGAAAACCTGCCGCAAAAAGGTAGCACCAAGGCCCCGGTCACACTGGGGGGAAAGATGCGGCTGAAGTATGGCTTTTTTGAGCCGCATCAAAAGAGAAGCGCTGCGGCGGGATCAGACAGATCCCCTGAGCTGCCGCGCAGTTGCTCCCTGGCATGATCAGATGCTAGGGGGAAGCCACAGATTGGTGAGCGAGGCGAGCCCACTGCACATGCATGTGCAGTTCTACAGGGCCTCCGTATCCTGCAGGGAGATGGGCGTGTCGGCAATCAGACGCCGGCCCGTGCTGCGCATCAACAGGTAGGTAGTACTCTTTTGGTTCTCCGTTTTTGCGGCGGGTTTTTGGCTGGAAGGGACAGATTGGGGACAGGTGCGTGCCACTTCCCAGATGTTGCAGTATGATCACGCCCACTTGATGCACCCCCGATCCCCCCCCCCGCAGGGCAAATCCTCTCGTGTGACCGGGGCCCAAAAGAGTACTACCTATCTGTTGATGCGCAGCACGGGCCGGCGTCTGATCGCTGACGCGCCCGTCTCCCTGCAGCATACAGAGGCCCTGTAGAACTGTGCATGCGCACACATGCACAGTGGGCTCGCCTCGCTTACCGATCTGTGGCTTCCCTCTGGCATCTGATCATGCCGGGGAGCAACTGCGCAGCAGCTCGGGGGATCTATCTGATCCCGCCACTGCACTTCTCTTTTGATGTGGCTCAAAAAAGCCGCACTTCAGCCGCGCCTTTTCCTCCAGTGTGACCGGGGCCAGAAGTAACCTTAGAGAATAGCTACTCAGGAGGCTGTTCCTTTTTCATCAGCAAGGGTGGAGGCTGATCCAGGATCTGTGTTTGTGTGTGAGTGTTTGCCTCTGGAGTTTGTTTCCCTAGTTTTAATCTTGCCACCCCTGACAGAAAACTTTCAACACTACTAAAATGTTTCTTAATATCTAGCCCTGGCTAACCCTCCGAAGTAACCCCCAAGGCTTCATGTTAAAGATATTTAAAAATCATGATAATCAGTTTTGACTCTTGGCTGCTTCCATCCAGAAGGAACAAGAACCTGATTTTATTGGGTTGGGGGGAGGGAGAGCTTCTCCACCTGGTTCCACATCTCCATGTATCCAGTTCTGTTCTTTTCTGCTTTGAGACTCTAGGATTAACTCCAAGTAAACATTTCATACAATAACAGATTGCGGGGGGGAATCCTGAATTCTCGGTGGTTTTGATTTCCAAAAATATAATTCTTCAATTAGCATAACAAGCCACCTATTGTCTTCACTTCACTTGTTACTGTAACTCTGTCAAGAGGAAGGCCTTGTTAGCTGAAATGTAATAATTACCATTAAATCCACTATACCAGTTCAAGATGTCTGCAGGTGACAAGTGATTAGAAGATTTTGGTGGTCCTGAGGCTGCCTGTCTCAAGTACTTCTGCTATTCTCATTATGGTATTTTTATGAGAAAGGGGAGAGAAAGAGAGTAATGGTATAAGCTGGTAGGCCAGCATGTACAGTTGCCAACTCTGGGTTTGAGGGGTGGAGCCTGGGGAGGGGGAGGGACCTCAGCAGGGTGTAGCGCCCTAGAGTTCATCCTCCAAAGCAGCCATTTTCTCTAGACAAACTGATCTGATCATTTGGAGATCGATTGTAATAGCGGGAGATCTTCAAGTTCCACCTGGAGGCTGGCAGCCCTGCCAGCATGTCATCATATTCGCCTGGCATCCACCAGGTTGAGGGCCTTCTTTGTGGTGGCCATGTCCTGGTGGAACCAGCTGTCAGAAAGTACGTGGGCCCTGCAGGATTTATATAAGTTCCACAGGGCCTGCAAAGCAGAGCTCTTCCATTTAGCTTTTCATTAGTCGGGTCTGTTTACCTGGTCTGTCTTTTAGTCTTATTTTTATTATTTTTAATTGATATCTGTTAATATTTTAGCTATTGCTAGCTGCCTCAGGACCCCTTGGTGGTGAGAGGCAGCATGTAAATTTTTAATAATAATAATAATAATAATAATAATAATAATAATAATAATAATAATAATAATAATCATCTATCCTTGGATTTATATCCCGCTCAGGGCGGCTGCAGTATAGCTGGTCTGATGCATAAGAAATCCCAGCCCTTGCTTGGGCTAGAATTCTCAGAAGCACCACTTCTGAGTACACTCTCACACATTCATTCATTCATTCATTCATTCATTAATTAATTCATTCATTCATTCATTGGAGCTAAGGATTTTATTTAGAATGTTTATATCCTGCAGGTCTTCAGATGGCTCAAGAAAGTTGAGATACAGTTCTGAAATCAAGTGCCAAGATACTCGATTCAAAAATTGTTTCAGCCTCTTCTGCACTATTGCAAAGGGAGGGATCTTAGGGTGCACTGTTACACCATGCAGTACCACTATTTAGCATGGAGTGGAAAGGTCTTTGATCATACTAAGGCTGAGCAGAAACAGATTCACTTACAGACAGAACAAGTGTTGCCTCTGTTTGCTGTTTGTTATTCTGTAGCTCCTTGTAATAAAACTTGAGAACTCAGTACTAATATAAGCCATGCCTCATGTTTTAGCACTGTACAAGCCCTGTGCTAGGCCTAAAAGGACAAACATAGAAGACCCACCGTTCAAGCTGAATGGTTGGGCTGCCCCAGTTTGGTGCAATAGTTTGTAATAACTATTTTCTTCACTTGCTTCTTTTTCTTTCTTTTCCCCCTTTTATTTACATTTCTTTTTCTGGTGCTGCCATTTCCCCCCGCAGAATTACAATCGTCCTCCCATCATGGCCCTGGCTGTCCCAGTGGCTGTGAAATTCCTGCAAAGGGGTAACAAAGAGCTGTGTAGGAACATGTCGAGTTATCTTTCCCTGGCTGCCATCAGCAAAGCAGATCTACTGGCTGAGCACACAGAAACCATTGTAAAAAGTGTCCTGCGAGGTAAGAAAAAGCGTATTCACTCTGTTGGGTTTATCATTGGTTTTTCATGCATTTATCTATTTACTTATGAAATGTATAGTCCACCTTTCTCTCCGAGACTCAAGGCGAATTACACAGTGTAAGTCAATGCAATCAAACAAATGGGACATACATGTGATTTTCAAAGGCTTTGATCCTTGACAGCAATAAGATAGCTTCCTCGGTGTATGTATGTATCTATTCCGAACATTCGTAGCCTGCCTTTCTACTTAGAAGCAGTGAACAAGACACATTGCACCTTCACGTAGACTTCTGGTGGCGACAGAAGCTGGGCAAGTTGGCTGGGATGATGGGCAGGGAGGGAAGACCCTCTTGCTCTCAACTGCAGATGGGATGCATCTGATAAGCTGGACCAGCCCTTGTGTACACACTGCTTTAAATATACAAGGGTGAGTCAAGAATGAGTCAGTAGACTCTAAGAAAACCATAGTCTTTTGGTCTGCAGTGATAACTCTTCAGCCTAGAGAGCCAGTTTGGTGTAGTAGTTAGGAGCACGGACTGTAATCTGGGAGAACCGGGTTTGATTCCCCACTCCTCCACGTGCAGCTGCTGGTGTGACCTTGGGTCAGTCATAAGTTCTTTCAGAGCTATTCTCTCAAGGGCAGTTCTCAGGAGAGCTCTCTCAGCCCCACCTACCTCACAGGCAGTGTTCCCTCTAAGCTGAGTTAGTGTGAGCCAGCTCACATTTTTTTAGCCTCTGGCTCACACAGTTTTGTCTCCGCTCAGGAAGGTGGGCTCCAGAGCAAACTGATTTATGCAGTAGCCAAATCACTTGCTCACAACTTTAATGCCAGTAGCTCACAAAGTAGAATTTTGGCTCACAAGTCTCCATAGCTTAGAGGGAACATTGCGTGTCTGTTGTGAGGAGGGGAAGAGAAAGGGGATTGTAAGGCACTCTGAAACTCCTTTGGGTAGTGAAGGGCAGAGTATAAATCCAATCTCTTCTCTCTTCTTCTTCATATGGAGCAGTTCATCCCATTTTCAGCAGCACAGTTCAAGGAAGTTGTTGCTCAGTAGAAAAGGGTTCAGAGGAGAGCAAAGAGGTGCTCAGGCTGTTCTTTTTTGTTTGTTTGTTTGATGGTTCACAATCACAAGTTGGGAAGGCTGAAGGAACAGGGTTCTTCCTCAGAGGAGAAGATTGTGGTGATGCATTGACAGTAAAAATGTCCTCGCTTTTCATGTGTTTCTTTTTTAAAAAATTCTAAGTCAGCTTGAATTCCCCACAAACTTGAGGTGTTAATTAATAACAGGATCCGCTGCAAGCCCGAAAACCACAATAATGTCCTTGCACAGCTCTCGTTTGTCCAGTAGGGCTTGTTGAGAACATCCTGGTGGGTAGTATCACATGGCCATTCACTGCAGGCCATGTCACGGTTCCACTATGACCTTATTCATGTAGGTGGTTGTGAAAGTCCATAAAGTGGAACCTAGTCTTATCCAAATTGGTAATGAGTCTTATTTAGATGGGTAATGGAATTGCATCTGGCAGATATTTGGGAGCCGCCTGCATAGTCTAGGCCAGCTCCAGCTAGTCAGAGCTTGGAAGATAAGCAGGGTCATGTAACGATATGAGCTTATGTTT